AGTTGGCCTTGTTCTGTTCTCACATCAAGGCTCTATCAACTTAACACTAGCTAAAAGACTTGTAGTTTGCAGTGTGGATTAAAAGGAGAAAAGGGGTTATAGTTTAGGTGGGGAGCCTAGGTTCTCAAGTGAGCTCAGTGGTAAGTTAAATTTGGTGCATATTGCTGCTTCCATGTGTCTAGGATGGACCTTTATGGAAGACTCATGATGTGCCAGGCTCAAAGCTAAGCATTTTCCACATATTCTCCCATTTAATCTTCACGACAACCCTGAGGTGGCCATTACTGTCTTCTCCAGTGTTGAGATGAGGAGGCTAAGAACCTAAAGTGCCCAGACTAAGGTGACATAGAGTCTAATACCCGGCTGGGGTAGTATTTGACACAGGTCGGCCTGATCCAGAGCTGAGTTTTTATTCAGTACGGTGGTAGTGCTGTACAGTGGCTTACTCTCAAGTTTCCATGTATGCACAACAGAAGAAGAAAGTTCCATGTTTTTATAGCTTCTCACATTGCTTGTCTAGAATAACACAGTGTTAGCCTGGAAAGATTTTAATTCCCTGTGTTTGAAGACAGGAGGATCGGGCCTTGTATGATATCTTCCTTAGCTTTCTCTTTCCAAAGGGTGACACGCCAGTTTGCTCCAACTACTTCTCAAGCCCTATTTCTGGACTCTTCTCCATCCTGTTGAATCACCTCCAGTCCAGCAGCTCTCGACTTTGGCTACTCAGTAGAATTAATCATCTGGGAAGTTTTGTAAAACCCCAAGTCAACGACACCCAGACTGATGGAACAAAAATCTCCCTGGAAGGTGGCCTAAGCATTATTTTCTGAAAAACTCTTCATAATATTTTAATGGGTAGCCAGTATTGAAAATCGCTGCTCCAGTTTGCTTAAAAAAGTAAGAACTGGTGTGAATGTTGGCAGGGGCTCTGTGGCATGAAGAAAGAGAACTAGTTTCTTTCAGCTAATGATTTTTAGCCAGAATTATCTGTGGCATAGTCCACATGACTTAATAGACCTGGCCTCCCAGGGCAGCTGAATGCAAATGCTTCTCAAGTGTAGGATGGGATGTCAGGCTTTATAGAGAAAATGACTACTCCCCTCTAATGCAGCCATGCTTGACGATTCACATAAATTCTCCCAGGTCCTGAACACATGCAAATGCTTCTCAAGTGTAGGATGGGATGTCAGGCTTTATAGAGAAAATGACTACTCCCGTCTAATGCAGCCATGCTTGACGATTCACATAAATTCTCCCAGGTCCTGAACACTGATAACATAATTAAGAGTGTTTTTTAATTGGATGTTTTAAAAAGTGAAAACAATTCCATCTCCTTTTCTCTTTCTTTTTACTCACCGTGTGTCTGTACCACCAGGTGCCGTGCTCTTGGCAGTGAATGCTAATGAATGCTGCAGCTCAGCCCTCAAGCCTGTGTGCAGATATGGACGGATTATGATGGAGTAGTTCATTCGTGCTCATTTTAAAGGGGGTGCTAACGACAGAGTAGGGCGGCTGGGATTATTAATATCTAGGCTGGGGAGAGCTTCCCATGGCTTTGTTCTCCAGCTGCCGCCTCAACAGAAAGGGAAGTAAAGCCCCTAAATTGTGAAGTTAGAAAATTATACTGTGAAGGTTGTATACGTGACAAGTTCAGATATGAAGTCACGCATCTACCCTTGACAGGGCTTAAGAGAAGGCATAATAACCAAGGAGTAGGAAGGTAGTTTTTCATCTACAAATTATTTTTTAAAAACACACTTACTATAACTACATTTTTTGGAAGAAGAAAATACCCAAAGTCAAATGCTCAAAGATGAAGAGATGGCTGACCCCCCCACCTCCCTTTTGTTAAAAAAGAAAATGCAAAGCTAGAGGGGTTCCGAAGGCCCTAGGATGAATAAAACACTGATCTGGTTAATCTAATAGGGCAGACAGGAAAGAGAGGAGAGGAAAGGGGAGAGATGGAGAAAGGAAAAGATGGAGGAACGTGTCTGGACCCAGATTTTGGAAAGGGAGGCAAAGGCAGGAGGTGAGCAGAGGTTTATTTTTTAACTTCTATCATTTTTTTTTCTTTCTCTTGTTTTTTCTCTCATCCTTGGATGTTTTGCCTGAGAAACTATCCTCCAAGGACTCCTAGAATTAACTAAACACTTTTTGAGGGTTTCCTGGGGGCCAGACTCTAGCTTAAGAGCTTTGCACACGTGTTACATTTCATTTAGTTCTCTTAGCACTACGAGGTTGGAAATATTCCCATTTTGTTGACGGGATGAAGAGAGATTGAGGAATTTGCCACAGATGACTCTTCCGGAAGGTGCTGAAGAACTAAAACTTCAGATATCAGCGCCTGGCCTTTAACTACCAGGCGGTTCTGCGGAGACTCCGGCTCCCTTGGGACCGTCCCCGGGACGGCTCGGCGAGTTTCCAGGTGGCCGGCCTCACTGCACCTGAAAGTACAGCACAGCGCGAGACCGAAAAGCCCCTCCCCAGGGGAATAAGACAGGAGGGGCGGGCGCCCAGGGACACTACGAGCGGTGCGGTTCCAAGACCTTCAAGGGAGGAGCTCGGCAGGTCCCAAGCCACAGGCTCGCACCGCTGACCTCTCCTAGGCGCGTTTACACTTTGCAAATCTCTTTTTCACTAGAATCCGCTTAATTCTCACCGCGGCCCTGCAAAGGAGGTTATTTTGGGTACCACTGTCCAGACGAGGAAAATGAGGCTTTGCCTTCTCCGCGGGGTCTGCAGGTAGTGGAGCTGTAGGTGTCTGCTTGTGTCCCAGAGATAATAAAAGCTACACTGGTCTTGTCGTTATTATGCAAAGCCGGCCGGGAGGCTCCGACCCTCCCTTGCACGAGCCCATCTGTCTCCGCGCGCGCCCCCGCAGTCCAGAAGCCAGCGGCTCGCAGAGCCGAGGAGGAGATGACGCGTCCCCCGCCGCTAGTCTCGGCCACCTCTCCACGCCTTCCCAGCCCGCGCCCCCGAGGCCGACCTCTCTCCGCTTTAAAAAACACCCCCCCCCCCCACACACCGCCTCCCCTACGGCCTGCTCGCCGCCCCCAGGGATCTGCATTAATATTAATCTCAATGAATAATTGATAGCCGGAGATTTATTTGGGCCGCCGCAGGGGAGAGCGCGCAGCTGGGCCGCATCTCGGCCACGCCGCTGCCTTGTTTCAGCTCGGGGTCCGCGGGGCCCAGACGTGGGAGGATAGGGGTGGGTGTGCCTGGGGGTAAGTGTGAGCCGGAGTGGGTGTGCCAGGGAGTGAGGGGCAGCGCCCGAGGCCGTTCCAGGGAGGCGGGGACGCAGGGGCATCCCGGGTCCTTGCGTCGTCGCCTGCGCGTCTCCCCGCGCGGGGTGACCCGGGGCCACGCGGGCTTGAGGGGAAACAATAGCGACTCCTTAGACCCTGGGCTCCTGCCACCGGCTGCCCAGGCCTTCCCGGACGACCGGCGGGGGCCCTTTTCTCGTTCGGATAATTTATGGCGAGAGGCTGGGGGGAGGGATGGCAGAGGAGGGACCGCGTCTCGAGACGGGGGGCGGGGGGCGGCGGTTAAAGGAGTCGCCTGAGGCGGCGGCGCGGGTGATGTCAGCTCTCGACGAAAATAGAGAGGGATCGCCTGCAAATCCCCAGCTCCGGCGGGGCTAAACCTCGCAATCCCTCCCCGGCCGGCGCCGCGCCAGGGCGCAGCGGCCTCCACCGCCTCCCCCGGCGCGCTCACACCCGCACACGCGCGCACACACCCGCACACACACACTCACTCACCGTCCTCGCCTGCCGTGGCT